TGCAAAAGTATTTTTTGAGCGACCCATGATCCATGCAAATTGTGGTTGTCTCAATGCAGCTAGTTAGCAGCCAAGGTCAAAGACAAATTACACAACTTGTCTTTAGGGCATTTAAACAAAGGTAATTACAGAGAAACAAACAACAACAAGAACTAGGCTTTTAGGCCCAATGGTTCTATCCCAAGCTTGGGTGAGGGGGTAAAATGTTCTCCCGATTTGGAGATTGAATCATCAGTTGTTAACAATTAATTCAAACTAACTTCTTAATCATTACTGTTGTAAAAAAATAATAATAATAAAAAAGAAAAAACAACAACAAGACAATCACCCTCTCTAACCCAATCCAATCTCACTTTCTGACTCTCCAGATTTCCTTCTTATTCAGACATTTCCACAACTCCTGAAAACCCTCTTTCTTCACCATCATATCATCCAAATTAAATTTGTCCTTCTCATTCTTCACACTAACAAACTTAAAGTTATTTATATGATTTTTTAATTGCTCATGATCTAATTAATTCAGTAAAATAATTCATAACAAAAATTATTAATTTGAGAGAGTAAAACATTTTGCTTGCATAAACTATTTAAATTCATATTTTATAGTATTGATTGTATATTAAAAGTATAATTCACTATATAAATTTATTAAAATATTTTTAAAAAACAATTTTAATAAAAATATTTTAATTAATTTATAAAATAAATTTCATTTTTAATACATAATTCATCATGTAAAACATTTTTTCGAACTATAAATTAAAAGGGCTCATTTCATTTTTTTTTTTTTTAAAGGAAATGTGATGGACTTGTGAAGAATAGAATTCACTTAAATACAGCCACCTCAATTTGATGATCTGCATGCTACTTCCAGAAAACCTTACAAGCCCCACCACATAAAACTCGACACGTGGACTTCATTTTACTAAAAAGGTCATATTATTTTCCTAAAATTCCCAAAATGTCCTACAACGAATAAAGCCCAGTAAAACCGGAGCGGCGACTCCACCTAAAACCCTAAACCCCATTTTGCTCAACGCAGTGGAGGCAGGGTAGAGGTACGCCTCTCTCTTTTCTCATAAAATGCTTGCATCCTGAACTTTTAATCTGGGATTCTGTTTTATTTTAGGTTCATGGAGATGGGTTTAAGTACAATGGTCGAATTTG